GGGGGGGGGCAGGCCGTCAGTCCCATCCCCCGGAGTCCCTGCTGCTGCCAGGCCCCCCCTGCTGTGTTTGCATAAACGGCTCCTGGGCACACTGGTGTCTGCCGCCTCCCGTCCCCTCTGGCCAGTCGCAGTCGGGGTCGACTGCACAGCCCCTTGGCAGGCTGTCAGCCTGGGACGTCTCCTTAGGTTTCTTCCTGTGGGGACCCCAGTTCCAGAAGCCAGGGCCTCACTAAAGAAGGCCCTGCCAGCCTCCCACTCCGCGGGTGGACAGGCCAGGCTCCCCAGCCTTCTGTGTGTATGGGGGTCTCTACTTATGTAGGCATTTATTTTGCCAGTCCTGGGGCCTGAACTCTGGGCCTGGGCGCTGTCCCTCAGCTCTTCAGCTCAGGGCGAGCGTGCTCTATGCTGAGCCACAGCGCCACTTCCAGTTTTCTGGTGTCATTGGACATAAGAATCTCATGGACTTTCCTGCCCAGGCTGGCTTTGAACCATGGTCCTCAGATCTCAGCCTCCTGAGTGGCTAGGGTCACTGGCGCCTGGCCAAGCACCCTCTTTTATTTTTTTCTTCTTTTAGGCTTGAACTCAGGGCTGCAGGCTTCAAGCGTGGGTGCTCTACTCCTTGAACCACGCCTCTAGTTGTACACTTTGTTGCTGAGACAGGGTCTGGCTAACTGCTGAGGTTGGCCTCAAACCCCAGTCGCTGGGGTCCCGGGCCCTGCTCACTGCTGCGGGAGGGGCTCGGGCCGCAGCCTCTCACAGGGCTGGGCCGGGGCTGGGGGCCTCGGGGCCTCGCCCAGCCCCCTGCTCCGCCCCGCGGCACCAAGCCCGCACTGCGGCCCTGCCTCGGGCCACCAGGTGGCACGCGCAGCCTGGAAAGACCAGGTTACCTCAGTTTCCCCGTCTTCCAGGTGAGGCAGCAGCAGACCCGGCTCACCAGGGGGTGTCAGTGTCCAGTGCGGGGGTCTGGAGCCAAGGGGGCCACTCGGCCCCGCGAGCCTGTGCCCGGTCACGCGGCCGGTCCAGCGGCCAGGGCGGACATGCGCCCCCCCCTCCGGCCTGGCCCGGCCTGGCCCCGCGGGTCTGTGTTTTTCCAGTGGCTTCTTCCGCCACGGCCTGACCACAACCTAGATTCTGCTGGCCAGACGTGGCCGAGTTTGCGTTCATCTGGGCCAGGCGGCGGCGGGGCCTGGCTGGCCTCCCTGGGCCTGGCAGGGCCGGGGCCTCGTGTGTCCCTGGCTGCAGCCAGCTCGCTGGAAGTGTCTAGCGCAGCGGTCTGCGCCTGCCTGGCCCACCCGGGTGGCGTGGGGCTCGGGCCTCCTCGGCTGGGTGCGGTGGCCACACCTGTGACTCCAGGCTTGGAGGCAGCAGGGTTGTGAGTTCAAGGCTCCTGGGCTGCGTGGGGAGACCCTGCCCCCGAAACCAAACCAAAACGAGGAAAGAAATGGACCTGACCTGCCCGAGCTTGCTGCGCCCCGGGCGCCCAGCCCGCCACAGCGCTCCTGCCACAGTGCTCCCGAGCCAGTTGGGAGGGGCTCTCCCTCCCTCCTCTGCCTGAGACCCCCACACGCCTCAGGAGAGCCTGCTTTGCAGGGGAAGCAGTACTGAGACTTGAACTCGGGACCTGGGCGCTGCCCCTGGGCTTTTCCACTCAAGGCTGGTGGTCTACTGCCTGAACCACAGCTCCCATACAGTTTTTTGGTGGCCCACTGGAGGTAAGAGACTCGGACTTTCCTGCCTGGGCTGCTTTCAAACCTGGAGCCCCACATCTCAGCCTCCTGAGTGGCTGGGATGACAGGTGTGGGCTGAAGTGAAAACTCTGGCCTTCCTTGTGGGTCTCTAAGCCTGGTTTGGCAAGCTTCTATTTACCCTTAAGCGCCCCTATGAAAATGCCCTCTTCAAGGAAGGTGGCAGCGCGCTGGCCTGGCGCAGAAGAGCTGACGGTCAGCGCCCAGGCCCGGCCAAAGAAACCAACGTCCCCTTCTGGCTGGTCCCAGCCGGGACTCCTCGGGGGCTGCGCCCGGTTTCCTCATCCCGGACGGGGCTCCGTGCGGGCGCAGAGCGGACCCAGACACAGGCCCGCGTGGCAGCGTGCGTGTGGGCACACGCGCGTGCACCCGGGCGGGGATCCCTGCCCC